TAACAACATTTAAAAAAATAATAAGATGAGAAATTGTATGAAAAATTATGAGAACAATTTTTACCAGGAATGACATGTGTACGCCTTTAAATGGCCATTTAACCGTTGTACTATTCTATACTTGTACTCGTTATTTCTCTATTATTGTTGCTTTTTTATAAAAAATGTGTAATACAATTTTAAAATATAAACATTGTTTTTTATTGTGTATATGTGTACAATTATTGCATAATATAATTATCTTGACTTCTCTACAGCATGATGTGTATGTGAAACTGCCATTTAATAACGTATATATGGCCCTTAATAGAATTAAGTAGCCTATCTAGGAAACAGAATCTGCGCGCAATCTGCCGTCAGTCTGTCGTCAGAATCTGTCGACAGGCTCTGCGCGCAGTCTGTCACCAATCTGTCGTCAGAGACTGCTAAAACAGTTTCTGTGTGCAGTCTGTTGCCATTCTGTCAACAGATACTGTTGACAGACTCTGCGTAAAATCTGCTCGCACAGGTTTGGCTATCTGGGTTGCTTACTGGGAAGGTAGTTTTATGATCGTCAGAAAATCGTAACAAAACTTGCATCAAAATGTTATCTAAATACAACTTAAAATTAGAAGTAAATTCTATACAAAAAAGCAGCATTAAAAATATAGACAATAATTTATTTGTACATATTTATTTGTACATATCACACAAAGATAAATAACATTCTCATTTTTTTATGTTAAAATTCATAAAAACTTTAAAAATACAAGTCTTACGCATTAAATAAAAATGTGCATATTAGTGAGATATAATGTAATATATACTGCACAGACGTGCCAAGAACGTTACAAGCACGTCCGGTGCTGTCAGGAATATTAAACTTATACCCAGTAAGCAATCTGCGCGCAGACTGACGTCAAACTGTGGAAAGGATCTGTCGAATCCGAGCAGGATCTGTCGACAGATCAATAGACATCTGCGTCCCCAATCTGGCGCCAGACTGTTGACAGGGTCTGCGAACAGACTCTGACGACAGACTGGCGGCAGATTGCGCGCAGAGTCTGTCGACAGACTATGACGGCAGATTGGCTGCAGATTGCGCGCAGATCCTGTCGTTTCGTAGGTTCTTCAATTAAATTTTCTCATAATTTTTCATAATTACTCATAGAATAAGCGCTTTCTCATAAATACTCATAAATACTATGACAAAAAAAATTTTTCTACATTATTTTTTCATAATTTTTAATATTTTCTCTAGTGAGATTCGAACTTGAACTGAAGACATCTTTTGGATAATCGTCCGTCGCCTTAGACACTACGCCAATTCCTCACTTGATAAAAAGCGCTTTGTATTGCCCATTTAAAGTTTAAGGAAGAAAAATATTATAGTTTGTTCGCCTTTTAAGCCGCAAAATATAGACGAAACCGTTTAGCGTATAAATAATGTAAGAGAGACTGGTACGATAATTCGAAATTAATTTTCTACCAAGGAATGTATAGAAAATTACTGCAATAAAACAGCAGATAATGACATTTTTCTATCATGTTAATAAAATACTGTACTTTTACATGTGCGAATTAATTTGGTCGATCGTCCCGTTCAGATTGTATTAAGTTTTATCAAAATCGAAGCATGATATATTTTTAAATAAACCATCAAAAAAATTCTGTAAAAGTTATTTACATAGCGAGACTAATATTTTATTCGGTGCTGCTGCCTTCAATACTTATTGCATGACGGTTAAATCGGATTTAATGACATAACAACATTTAAAAAAATAATAAGATGAGAAATTGTATGAAAAATTATGAGAACAATTTTTACCAGGAATGACATGTGTTCGCCATTAAATGGCCATTTAACCGTTGTACTATTCTATACTTGTACTCGTTATTTCTCTATTATTGTTGTTTTTTTATAAAAAATGTAATACAATTTTAAAATATAAACATTGTTTTTTATTGTGTATATGTGTACAATTATTGCACAATATAATTATCTTGACTTCTCTGCAGCAGTTTTACATAGTGTGTATGTGAAACTGCCCCATTTAATAACGTACATATGGCCCTTAATAGAATTAAATAGCCTATCTAGGAAACAGAATCTGCGCGCAATCTGCCGTCAGTCTGTCGTCAGAATCTGTCGACAGGCTCTGCGCGCAGTCTGTCACCAATCTGTCGTCAGAGACTGCTAAAACAGTTTCTGTGTGCAGTCTGTTGCCATTCTGTCAACAGACACTGTTGACAGACTCTGCCTAAAATCTGCTCGCACAGGTTTGGCTATCTGGGTAGTAATTATTTACAAATATTACAAATTATCGAAAATAAAATAAACATTTGCACTATATTTTTACCGTTTTTAACATGTTTTATACTCAAGTATTCTTATAACTAATTAAAATTTCTTATAAATTTTATCTGATCAAAAAACATTTTCACTATTTAAACGACTCTAAACTTCCATTTTTAATAAAGAAATATTCACTTATATATTATATATACACAGACACAGACACACACACACACACACAAGTATATATATGTATGTATGCATGTATGCATATATGTATATAAAACTTGACAAAAAAACTATCATCTTTCTTTATGTTTCTCTAAATATTTATATAGTTTGTTTTAAAATATTTTATATAAAGTTTATATAAGTTATTTTATATAAAGTTTTTATATAAAAAGTAACATTATCGGTCAAATGTTCAGAAATTAACATAAATAAACCTTTTTGAAACAATACTGTTACAATCAGTAAATAATACTTAAGATTTTTAGAAATCTTCTTCTATTTCGTTCTGTCGTGCAATTTTTTTCGCTGCATTTTCTTTCGATTTCTTTTCAGCTTTAAGACGGTCTCCAATACGCCGTAACTATAAAGCAACCCAGTAAGCAAGAAATCATTAATATAACGTTGCTACAATGATATTGAAGAACCTGTAATATTGTCAAATATGTAGTGTTCAATATTGTATCAAACATCATTATGAACATACTTTGACCGCGATTTGGAAGTTTCAATAATGTTGAAATAGGGTTGCTATAATGTTTTAATCGGCAGAAATATTTTTAAGATGTTGCATTGATCTCAAATAAATGTTAAAGTAACATTTGAAAAATATATTTTTTGTAATGTTTTTCAAACGTTTAAATAACATTCAGAAAAATCATATCCCAAAATAACATGTGAAAAATATAAATGCAATATTATTAAAAAATGTCCGGTTTCCGCCATCAAGTTTGATGACGAAAAAGTTCACGTGAAAAGTTTCACGTTTCCATGTTCGCCGAGTTACGTGATCACGAGTTCACGTGAAACTTTTCGCTTTTCACTTTCCATTCTAGGCGAAAAGTTACGTGGTCGCTGCCCAGTTTTGAGCTATGTGACGCGCCATGTTATTCACTGTCCTGTTCAGGAATGGGTAATGGCTTGGTTTACATCGTGCACTTGATACGCGTACTAAATAGTAACTTTCTATTAGATAATCTTAATATCAACGATATATATAAACAATGATATATTAAGCTGGTATAATACTCATCAACAAAACGTATTAATAGAATGCATCGCTGTTGATATGCAGTCGATATTAAGATTATCTAATAGAAAGTTACTATTTAGTATGCGTATCAAGTGCACGATGTAAACCAGGTTAATATGCGTGGCAGAAAGATATTATGCACAATTTGCGCATAATATGTCTATTATGTGCAGAAAATCCTTGAGATGTGTCCACTCTAACCTAAAATAACCTTTCTTTCTTCAATATAAAGTTCCAGGCAGCTTGCACTTTGCCCTAATACTACTCCACGATTTGAAAAGAGATATTGCATACCACCGAAATGATACGACTTCGCCAAAAAAATTAGTTCAAAAAGGATCCTAGGGACATGTACGTACTCCCAGATAGTCGAACCAAGTCTTCTAAAATAACTTACTCAGCCCGAAATGAAAAGTCGAATCGATGTCGACTCGACTTTTCATTTCTGCTGGGTACAATCCTACTTGCTGCTCTTGAATCAGTTTCGTTAATACGTCTGTATACACATGTAGATATAAAGAAATTAAAAAATGGGATACAACGATGAACTAAATTCACAATTTCATATTTTTCATGATCATGGACAAATATTTATGCTTTGTCTTATATACAAAACAATTATAAAGCCAAACAATCAGAATGTTTAAATCACTGATTGCTTTATTCTGATTGGTTGTCGTAATCACATACAACTATTTACGACCACGCTTAAGTGTCTTCTACAATGGCAGTAGGAGTAGTAGTAAGAAATAAGCAGTAAGCAAATTGACCAATTCCATTCTCACGTTTCAAAAATAATCGATTGTGATTGGTCAATTTGCTTACTGCTTATTTCTTACTACTACTCCTACTGCCATTGTAGAAGACGCTTTAAAGCTGGTGGTATATAGAAAAACTTAAACAGTAAAACGTAAGCAGTAAGCAAATTGACCAATCACAGTCATTGATTCTTCTTACGGTCAAAGAATCAACGACTGTGATTGGTCAATTTGCTTACTGCTTAAGTTTTTCCGTGTGCCATGACCCTCGTTATTGGAGTTAATGACAGTTTCGTTATCGTTGCGCAGCTTTTCTACGGTATACAAAAGCTGCGCAACGATAATGAAACTGTCGTTAACTCCAATAACGAGTTACAGAATAGGACTACTGGTTCTTTTCCTCTTTGTCAGGACTCCTACACTGTTCAGTGCAGTACAGTGCAGTTCCAGTGTAGTCCCAGTACAGAGGAAAGGAACAGACTTAGGGTCTCTAGCGTTTTGCTGTCAAAGCCTCCCAGGTAGTCGTAGTGAGTTATTTATAAATTTTATAGAAACTGTTCATGGCATGTTACATGATGATCAAAGTGTAACGATTTCAACAATAATTGCCTGTATTAATTAAAATTTGTACAACTGGACAGAGATAACGATCGCGTGTGACAGAAAATCTCGATACACCTAACCTGTTGTGTTACAGAAAAATGTCAAACGTGGGTAATCTGGAGCAACAAATTGCGAGCTTGCAACTTAATCACGGCGATGGCGTGGCCAAAACTGCCAAACCTGGCAAGAAGGTCGGGCCTGCGGTGCCGCCTAAACCAAAAAGATCTCAGCCTCAGGTGAATCCTATGTTTCTTACACTGCAACCTAACCTAATACTTGTCATTATATATTAAGAGATAATATCTTATTAATAATATTTCAATACTTTCCTCGTATGCATTCTCGATACGGATGCTATTGTGGTAATTCAATATATGTTTTACCATACACGGGAAAAAAGATGGTGCACATGAATAGAAATATTTAGTTGCAAGCAGCATAGTTGCATCACTCTAGTTATTTATGTGATGTTAATTGTATGATTAATATGACTCAATTACATATATATATATACATATATATATATATATGTATATATATATATATATATATATATATA